TGGTCAAAATCTTTCAGTCAAGTCATAAACCATCAGTCAAAAAGTGAATAAATTACGCCGGTTACCCTTCTTAAGTACGGAAATATATATATTAAGTACGAATATTGGTTAAGTTCGTAATTTAAGCCCTAAGTTCGTATTTTATTGTTTTTTATTAGTTAAGTTCGGTTTGTATGGTCAGTGGGGGTTCAGTGGGGGTCCGAAAAGTAGACATTTACTTGCGTCTTGAAGGGAATATTGTAGACTGCCCCGTATAAAATTGGGACGTTAGGGGCTATACTAAAACATTTTTTTCTGGTGACTTTAAACTGTGAAACGTGACAGTGTGATCCACTTAGAACAAATCAAGATGGATAAGTTTTGTCACGTGTATGCATTAGTTTGTTCCCTTCATGCAAGTCTTTTGTCACTCGACTGTGTTCTGTTTGTCGAGTAATTACAGCAATGGTATAAGTTAATGTTATTGTTCGCACTGGCGAAAACGCACGTGAGGTTGGCAAAAGATGCTTCGTCACGAAAGATGTCAAGTTAAAATCGATGATGTCCCAAGACAGCTCTGTAAGGGTCCACCAGCAGGCAAATAAGTTTTGCTAATCGCATATTTTTGGGGGATTGCGGCGCTTTAGATGATTATGCACATGGTTCTTCGATACTGTTAAAGCTTTCTACAATTGCTACAATTCGTTTTTTTTTTAGTATATGCGAATATTTTGAAGTCTCTCAATAGTTCCAGGTTACACATACAGGTGAAGTACAGTCACTATAACCTACATCCCCATCGTGACAGTGTTCCCCTTAATTGGAATACAATAACACATACACACCCATAGTCGGTATTGGGGTTATTATTCTAAGAAATATTTAAACTTAAGTGTTGAGACGACAACTTGCACTGTCATACGAACAGGTGCTTTATATTTCTAAAAAAAAAAGTAACCCAAGATCGGGAAAAATTGGGTTACAAGTTAAAAAAAAAACCTCTTTTTTCGTATTATAACTTATAACCCATTCAGCACCCATTTCAATAATGCGAAGGTTCCAGTTACTCCATCGCTGCTTCACGAGGTCCTGTGCGTTGCCACAAAGCAGAGACGCCTCCGCCGTTATATCGTCTAGTGTGTTCGCCTACGCGGACGGCGCGTCTCGTGGCAATCCAGGTCGCAGTGGCTGCGGCGCTCTGCTGGTGGACCCCTCGACAGGTAGCGTGCTGGCCACAGAAACCAAGTATGTGGGCGATCTGGAGACCAACAATGCGGCGGAATATCACGGGCTCATGCTGGCGCTGCAGCTGGCACAGCAGCACCAAGCCACGCACGTGCACATCCACATGGACTCGCAACTTATCGTTCGACAGATGCAGGGCCAATACCGAGTCAAAGCCGCCAACCTGCGGACACTACATCAGCAATGCAAGGAACTTAGCGCAGCCTTTCCTCACGTGACGTTCTCACACGTGGCTCGAGAGGAAAACACCGAAGCTGATCGACTCGCCAACGAAGCTATCGACGAGTATGACGGACGATAACTGACCCACCACGACCAAACTAGACTTGTCAGCAATAGATGAAGAGATATCCTACCGCGCTTGCACAATCCACACCCAAGCGGAGCTGTATCAACATCCTGTATTGATAATGCCATTGTGGAGAAGACACCTACTGGCAGTTGGTTATTGCATCGTATTGATCATTCTTGGATACTCACCACCAATATTATCTAGGTAGTACTTGAGCCGCTCGCTGCAACTGTGATTGAAAAGGTGCTTTATGTGGCAAAATGCAATCGTTTTTGTACATTTCGGGTTTCTGTTCTGGAAAAAGATGTCATCTTGAAGCTTCTGACAAGTCGCTAATCTTGACATGGGGAACAAGGCGAGCCGCCCGACGACGGCCTCGCAGCAGGCGCTGGAGACGCTGCTGTCTCGTCCCAGTGCCTTACACCCAGGACTGTTCTCACTGCATGCTACTGCGCATCACGGCGTACCAAGCAACGCCAAAGTTCTGGCCTTCTGTGGCCTACAGGGGATTTTGGCAGTCGGCACTGCATCTGGAGCCGTAAAACTCTACGGGGCCGACGGATTGGAAGTTCTACTGGAAGGACCCGAGTCTGCGTCGCACTTGGCCGTGGGCGTCACGCATCTCCAGTTCACAGCACGCCAGCGACTGGTCGTAGGCTACACGGACAGTTCCCTACGCGTTTTCGACTTGGCATCAGGCGCTGTGCTCTGCTGTGTATCAGACGCATGGACTACGAGCGTCCTCACGTGTCTCGAGACCTTAAAGTACACTAATTTCCCTTTCTTTTTCGTGGCTACGGACGACGGCGACGTCCACGTCGTGCATGAAGAGACCGGCAGAGTCAGCACGTACGCCATCCGTCCACAGGATCTGTCAGTGCCCAATGCCGAGGGCATCACCGCCATGGCAACTCACCCAAGAGACGGCAATCTGCTGCTCATCGCCTACGACACGTGCCTTGCCGTGTTGCTGTGGGACTTCGCCAAGCGTAAAGTGGTGCGCGAGTTCACCCTGTCGGGTAAAGCGCACAAAGTGGCGTCTCCGCAGTCGTCACTTCCGCCATCTGAGTCTTCGGGTGACGGAGAGCTCGTCTACAACTCGCCACAGTCTCTATCCTGGCACTCGAGTGGTAAACGATTCGTCGCGGGGTACAAACACGGAGGCTTTGCAGTCTTTCGGGTGGATAAACCTCATGGTTTGTATCGTTATGTAGATGGGAGTGCACCAAGTGACCAGGTGACGCCTGTGAAGCAGATCAAGTGGATCTGTGCGCCGCCAACATCCAAACATGTTGCTCTTCCTGGCGCGATCGTCTTTACTGGAGGTCGTTCGGAGCCTACAGAGTCCAATCTACTGACTCTAGTGCACCCACCGAGCGATGTACGCAGCAGTGACGACACACTGACAGATCTCTTCAAAGCAGAGAAGTTGACTTGGCTTGTAGCCACGATCGAGTCGGCCAATCACGCAGAGATCGCAGCGTTCGAGAGTGCGCAGGACCAAGTGGATTACAGCAACAAAATAGCTCCACTCTCTCTCATTGTACTCTCAGGAAACCCACTGGACGGCTGCTTGCCGACTGTAAGTGTGCAGAACTTGCCATGTTTTGTCAAACTCTGCGACGGCGACAGAGAAGAATGGGAGTGGCGGATGGACAGACTCCCAGAAGCTGCAGTTATCCCGCCGCTACTGCAACTTAGTCCACTCAAGACGTTTGCACTTGTGAATCTTGTTCACTCTGACAGCACATTACAGGACGACTTGTACTCCGCGTGGAACCAAGCGCAATATAACCCTCTGTTCCGCTTGGCTGAGAGTGGAGACTTTGACTGGCCTATCAATGGCGGCAGCGTGCTGGAACCGATGCTCAAGGGATTCCTTGCTACTAGTGGCGCTCCGGGTATTGCACCAAACAGTATGATGCTAGTGACAGGCCACGCCAATGGCTGCGTGTTCATCTGGGAGGCTCATACAGCTGGAGATCGCCTCAGTAAGGGTGCGATTCGCTTGCTTCATGTTGTGGATACACCACTACAGATGTCTCCTGCCCCAGTCAACCCAGAGATAACTTGTCTGACATTTTGTACCGACTCGCGCACTCTTGTGGTTGGCTTTGCGTCTGGAGAGATCGCCATTCTGGAGTTTGGGCAGTTGAAGCCACGTCCGTCGACTGACGAGACCCAGCAAGACCCAGCAGCACAACAACAGAGCTCGTCGACAGATACCGTGGGCTTCCGCACGTTGTTCTCCATCCACGTACACTCCGAGCCGATCTCGAAGCTGGTGATGTCGTCCTTGTATGGATACGTGGCTATAGCGGACGCAGCGGGGATGGTGTCACTTGTCGAGATCAAGACGCAGAACTTCCAGCTCTTAGTGTGTGATATCTCTCCGACTGGGGACGAGTCCATGTCGGTCGATTCCTTGCTGATGAGTGAACTAGTGCAAACGACTGAGATCCCTGGGAGTGGATCGTCGACTTCGCAGCCTCTGGGGAGCAGCAAAAGCGGCAGAGGATCACCAGGTAAAGCAAACATTCACAGCGGAGACGCGACTCAGACCGCGATACAACACCGCGAAGTGATTCCTGTGCTCTTCGTGGGACGTGGCAGTGGGAAACTGGAAATGTTCCATGTGCAGTCAGCCACAAAGATGGGAGAAACGCTCGTGGACCCGGACAAGACCACAAGTTTGTCTTCAATCATCATGGTAGACGGTGGTGGCAACCGAATCGAAATCCCAGGGCGCAAGTGGGTGGAACAAGGAGAGAAGAACTCAGATTCTGCTGCTGCTGTGTCGTCGGATATGGTGGAGCCACAGCTAGCAGAAGCCCGACAGCAAAATGTCGCTAGTGAAGGCACTAAGGATCAGTTGACTCAGCCAGTATCCAGTGCGGATTTTGAACTAACGCAGCATCTTGTGACGACAGCAAAGGAAGAACGATCGAGGTCTGAAGTAGCAGTTCAAGCTGTGGAAACGTCGAGTTGGGAACAGAGGAATCTCGTTGAGGTTCGAGCTCCTCCCGGCTCGCTTGGTCTGCATCTTTTCATGGAGATCGAGCAACACGCCGTGGTGAAGGGGTTTGCAGAGGACAGTGCCACCGCCGAATTGTTCACCGCAAAGGGAATTGGCGCTGGTCACACTCTCACAGCGATTAACGGAGTGGACGTGACTTCACTCGACCGTGATCTAGTATGTTCTGTGCTTGACAAACTTCGGGAACACGAAAAAGTCCTGGACTTCGCTGAGGGTTTCAAGGAGGTACCTGCTAGCAGTGAAGCTGGAGCCTCTGACGTTCTGGTTGAGCATTCAAGGAGCGTAGCGGAGATTGAACAGCCACGATTCTTAGTCTGTGCGTGTGGCAGGATGATCCACATAGTCCAAGCCTCAGTTCCACGAGCAGCGGAGATGGCGATGGGTCCTAAGGACATTCCAGCTCAACCTCTTGCCAGTATCGAGCTGCATGGGTCTGTGCTAGTGGCTTCTGTGGTTCGAGTCCCGGTGGGTGAAGGTGTGGAGAACTGCCTCGCTGTTATCGACCAGAGTAACCACGTGTACATCCTCTCGCTACTGTCCTTAAAGCCAATCTGGAAGACGGACGGCAACTTTGGCTCTGGATTGGGTCGCTCCGGTCTGGTTGACGGCGTCCTGTCCGATATCTCGTACGGTGGAGAGCTCGTAGTGGCCAATACTTTCGGTGAAGTGGAGCGCTTCTCTCTGTTCGCTGAGGCTACAGCGATGGAGAACGCGATGCTGGAGCGCAAGTCTATCAAGACGCGACTGCATCTGACTGAACGTGTAGCCCTCTTCAACCAAACAGCGCCCCCTTCATCGACAGATAGTGGGAAAAAGCGGGGAATAGCGGATGCGGGCAAAATGTTCAAGAAACTGGTACTCAGCGTCACTCAAGAGGCCACAGACTTGAACAAAGTGTTCCAGTTTTCGACCGAAGAAGATGAGCGCAAGAAACTGATGGGAGATCGAACTTCTACTGCTAAAGACACTGAGAGCGCCACTGCAAAGACTGAGACGGGGTTAAATGCGACAAAAGATACCCTCATGCAAGCGCAGCAGGTAAGAATTCAAGCTTGCATCATCTATTTCCGTGATATTTTACTTACCGGTATTTTTTATCATAGCGACTCGCGGAGCGTGGGGAGAAGCTGAACGATCTGGGACTCAAGACGGAGCAAATGAAGAAAACATCCGAAGATTTCTACCAGACGATGAAGGCTTTTAACGAAAAGAACGCCAACAAAAAGTGGTATGAATTCTAGGTTCTGGATACCTTTCCTTCTAACAAAATGGATACATTGTCGAGTTAGTCGTATTTGACCCATACCAACGTAAGTCCTTGCGATGGTGCGCCCTGTCCTGCTTTTCCTCGATTCTTAGCTGCTAGGATCACTGGAATGTCATCGGGTTTCAGTCTCCCCAAGCCAACATCGACGATGGTACCCACCAAGATCCGCACCATCTTGTACCTGAACCTGTTACCCTCAAAGACCAGACGTATCCTCATGGCTACATCTTCTTGGTACTGAGCGTCTCCTCTGTCATTTAAATTGTCCGAATGAAGCTCAATCGTTGAGACTGTGCAGATGTTGCCTCGCTCTTTGTCCACAGGTTTCTGGGGCGTGAAGGACGAGAAGTCTTTCGTCGTGGGTGGCGCCATCAAGTGATTGATCGCTTGCTGCATCTTGGCTACATCCAGAGGCTTGCGAATGTACCACACATTGCGACGATGAGCTACAGGACGCAGACCACCAGCGATCAGCTCGTACTCGTAACGTTTGCGTTTGGTGTCGCCGCGTGGGTCGAAGTCAGCCTCTGCCTCCGTCATTGTAGCCATCCTGCGACACAGAACGTCATCAGGAAGGCGCGTGTTGAGAGCATCGCGGAAGACACGGTCCGACTCAGTGCATTGACTGACAAACACCATCACCTGACCCAAAGCATGTACACCACTGTCCGTGCGCGAGGCGAAGCGCAGTCTGGGCAGCTCCTTCTCGCCCGTAGTACGATTTAGCGCGTCCTCGATAACCTCCTGCACGGTGCGCATGGAACCAGGTTGGTCTTGCGCCTGGGACCCGTAGAAGTCAGCGCCGTCATACTCCACCACACAGCGACGGCGAATCCACGGACCATTAGCGTTCACGCGGAGGAAGGCGCTGGGTGGGATGCGAAGCTTCCGACCACCACTCATGAGTTGCTGGTCAAACACCGAAATGGCTACATTCTGCTTGGAGTCGACCAATCAGCGATCGTGTCCCTTGGCATGGATACATGTAACCTCAAACTGCCATATTGACGTTCCGAGTCTATTTCCTGCTCTTTGGTGGCGCAAAATTCTGCATTTTCTGTCGAGTTTTCATGCCTCCACCTCCGCTAACCATCAAGACCGATGCGTCTTCGCGAGGTCGCTCCTTCCCAACGCCGTTCAAATGCAGCGGAGACTTTTGCGGCTTTGCATTACAGCTGAGCCGGGCGGACCCCATGAACGCCCATCGAGCTGGAGGAAGACGAGCTGCTGCGCCGCCGCCTCAAGCTGCAGCAGCGTCGGCTCTGTCGCTTTTATTCACGAAGGAGGAACTGCGGGTGCTTGGAGATGCGAATCTCAGTCGACTGGTGACGGCCATGGAAATCGCGCAGTCGACAGGCAAGGGCATCGACGGGAAGCTACTGGAGGGCGGAGATCTGTGTGTCATCACATACAAGTCTATTGCATTGGGTAGGAGCAACAAGGAGCATCTACAGAAAGCTACACAAGGTGCTAGTCAACTGCAGTCCAGCGTTGACTCGCCGACCAAGGCTGGACGGCGACAGCAGTCGCGTCTGCTGGACAACACACTGGCTCAAGAGCTGCGTGAGAGCACACGAACGCGTGTATTTGGAGAGATGGACGGTGTGGCTAACTACTACCGTCAAGTGCGAGTATGTAGCGACTGCTACTCTGTCTACGCGCTGTTGGACCAGGCACGGCAGATGGCAGCCGGACCGCTCGCACTGGACGAGAAGGTGCAAAAGAAGCAGCAATTGAAGAGGAAGCAGCAGCAGATTAGTCGGAAACGAGGTTTGATCGAGGAGAAGTGGGAAGAGCGTGGGACGCAGGAGGTTCACGAGAAAGAAGCAGTTCTATTACGTAAACGTCACGATGGCTCGAAACTCAAGCAGTTAGCGGATGTAGCAGAATCACTCGACACAACTGAAGAAACAGACAGCTCTTCCACTTTACCAGTTCTTGCAAACAGCAGCAATAGCACCAGAAGCAACACTGACCTCTTCAAAGCGGGCAATGGCAAGGCTAGCAGTAAACACACAGTCAGCATGCCCTCACTGCAGAATCCTGAGACTGCTTCACCGAAGAATATCAAATCTGCATCAAGTGTCTCGATGAACCAGCCACGTGACCAAAAGCAATTACTGCGCAACAATGATACTTTTGTGGGTATAGACAACTACTTGCGCGGCGTCAGCAAACGCATCGAGGCTTCGTCACTCGAACCAGACCAGCTCTTTCGAGAAGGAGGAGCCAACACGAAAAACTCCTCAAAAATTGACAGTTATGGGGGTCCGGCATCGATTCTCCTCGTCTCCTCGGACACCGCAGTGCTAGACGACGTGCATCGGATGCTGCGCAGTTTCTCTTCGCCCACATTTGAGCTCGAAGTCGAAAGCATGACAGACGGTCGACAAGCTCTGCGTGTGGCTCAAGATTTCGACTACGACGTGATCCTCGTGGAACGAGATTTGGCACAAGGCGACATGACGGGACTGGAATTCTCTCGGTTGCTGAGGCAGTCGCAGCTCAAGCGCAGAATTCAAGCCAAAGTCACGAGCCCCACCACTATCCTCTGCTTAAGTTCACAGACGACGCCCGACGATCTTCAGCTGTACAAGGACAGCGGCATGGATGGCTGCATCGGCAAGCCAGTGCATAGCGAGTCGCTTCATCACACGCTTCAAGCAGCACTTCGCGCACGGATAGCTCACTTGTCGCGTCCAAGGCCGACAGGAAACGAGGAAGTGTATGCAGCTACACTGGCGCTCGCCAAAGCGAAAGAGGAGCAACGAGCGCGACAACGTCGACATCGACGTCGACTGGAGGCTTCACACTCACTGGCAATGCCTGGTCTGGCCGACATGGACTCACGTGATGACTATGCGCATGGGACTTTTCAAATGGATGCCGAGACTTCCATTCCTTTCTGTGTCATGGGTGGTGCTCGAGCGAGTGTAGTTGACAAGATGACAGGCCCCACGGACTCGAGCGAGGCTTTCTTTAACCTGGTTGTTGTTCACGACCTGTATGACACTTGGGAGCGTTTGCAGATTCTACTACAGTCACTGGTAACACGTTATCGTGGTCGGGTGCAGGTGCTTCTATGGAATTATCCGGGTCAGGCGTACACAACGTGGAGGAGAGGAACTTTGCTGAATAATACTTTCCATGTGGCGTGTCTTACTGCGCTACTTGGTCACGTGACTGGAGCGTCGGGGGGCGATCGACTGCTCCGAGACAAGCCTTATCATCTCGTTGGACTCGGCAATGGAGGTAACATTGCCTTGAGTTTCTGTTGCTCAGCTCAGCCACGTGACGCGAATACCCGATCACTGGTACTACTCAATAGTTTTGCTCATGTCGACGCACAACTTGCCCAGTTCTTACATGACAGCGCCAAAGTATTGACGTGTACGCCCGAGTCACGCCCAGATCTCCCTGTGTATTTCCACGCCCGATTCCTCTTCTCATCGACGTATCTCGCACGAGTATCCACGCCTCTGGCACTCAATCTGTACACGGCCGTACTCAACCCCATCACACTCGAAGGTCGACAGGCTCTTACGCTCGGCGCGTTAGCACACCACGATCTCCGACCGGATCTCAAGCATCTTCGCGTTCCTCTGATATCGCTTTGCTCGGTTCAAAACGGCCTGATTGATGTTGAAAGCCAGGTCGAGACAGTCTTGGCTCTGGCAAATCTGGAGCTTGTGGACTCAATTGGTAAAGTATTGAGATATCGACGCGTCAAGTCTGTGCAACGACATTCTGCTGGCCATAGCAAACGTCCCGGTTGTGTTATTTGGCTCCCTGGCGGCCACGAATCTTTACAAGAATGCAAACAAGACGTCCTCGTGTTGTTAGAGCAGCTCGTCACTGGATTCCATGAACTAAACGACGTTCCTCACGGTACGAGTCGGAAACTACAGCAATTATCACCGGAGAAGCAGAAATCGAGATGTGAGGACGAACCACAGCGAGGAATCTCCGACAACCAAAGCAAGAAGAACGAGAAACCCCAGCGGAACTTCGAAGACGCTTTCATCGACCGTGTATTGACTACAGTCAACGAGGCTGTGCCTACCAACACACAGAAGCCGTTGGATGCACAGTGGCGACTCCACCAGCAGCAGATCGCTGACCAGGCAGCTCTGGAGTCTTCCGTGGGTATTACCAAGACTCAAGCAACAAACTCTCACTCGAACCAGCTCGGATCATCCAAACCGTCCAAGCTCATCGCCCTCACGACGTGGGATCCCACCACACCAGCCTTTGAGCGCATTAGCACTAACGTCGTGTACCAACCAGGTGCCGGCAGTAAAATCTACCCGTTGCTGCCTGAAGTGAAGGAATACATGGGCTGGCGAGTACGTCGCAACCAGAAACGACTGCAGCGCATGGCTGCAATGGCTCGAGTAATTCAACGAGCTTTCCGAGCCTTCTACGCGCGTACACTGACACGACGACTGCACCGTGAAAAGTGCGCCGTCAATCTGCAACGTCTGTGGCGAGCCCGCGTCGCTCGCAAGCGATACAAAGGCCTCAAACGTGAAGACTGGGCCGCTCGTTTGCTCCAGCGTCACTGGAGAGGGAAAATGGGACGGACGTCGTACAAACAGCGCATGTTGGAGTACTTGGCAGCGTTGGACATCCAGCGAATCGCACGGGGTTGGCTCGCACGACGTTCCGTGCTGCGTCGACAACAACAGATCCACCGATCGATTGTACGAGTCCAGCAGCTAATGAGGCGATACGTAGCACGCATGAAGATGTTCAGGCAACGACGTCGGCGTAACGCAGCTATGAACATCCAGCGTGTGTTCCGTGGACTGCTGGGACGTCGACGATTCGCCCGCGAGCGCGAGAAGTTCCTCTTCTCCAAGACTCAGTCTCAAGGTCTGACGTTCGGTAAGCAGCTACTGCTCGAGTACAAACTCTACGGCACAAAGTTGCAGAGTGACGTCGCGCTGCTTGCACGCGAGAAAAGTGACGTCGAAGCGCAGGCCGAGAAGCTGGTTAAGGAGATCTGTGAGTTTGACGAAGGCATCCGATTACTGGAGACCGAGCTGCTGGCTCTGGGGAAGGCGGAAACGGATAGCAACGCACCGGGTGGCGTTAACCGAACGCTGGACGAGACGGCGAAGTGGGCACTACGCGAGCAAAAAATGCGACTGGATCGAGAATTCTCGCAAATGCTCGCACAGATCGCCCAACGTCGAGAAAAACTCGCGACACTGGAGGAAACACTGGCACGTGTCGACCAAGAGAGACTGCGGAAAGAGGAAGAACTCAAGGCGCTTGAACGGAAACTGGTATTGTTGCTTGATGAGCAGCAGAAGGAGCTGGCGCGCATTCGTGATAAGCAGGAAACACGCTCTCAACTCGCACTAGATCTAATCCCGCCAGGGTCTGTTCTCCCGGGCACGATGGCATCAGGACCTGGTAGTGTCTTTGCGAATAGTCCTGTGCCTGGTGGTCCCATAACGTTGAGTCCAACCGCCAGCGCATTCGGACCTGGCAGTGGATTCCGTACAACACCTGGTGCCGCTACTCAAGGCTTTACATCGCAGCAGCGACAAGAAGCCGCTTCACTCATGGAGTCAACCGAGACGATGATGAAGTTCGGCTTTATGTCCATGTCCATGACGTACTTTAGCAGTATGAACATGGTGCGTGCCATGCGGAAGATCGGTGCGCACCACTTGACACTCGACAGCGCTGCGGCTGTATCACAGCAGCGGTGGCCCGAAAATTCTGCAGCCGAAACGCAGTCAAAGACGTTAATGAGTCCTGCTGGTTTTCAGCCCGGCATCCCACCCGGAGCGTTCCCAGGACAGCAACCGATGCAAGTGGCGGGTTGGAGTGTGAGCGACGTCGGTCGTTGGCTCGATACGTTGGCGTTGGCGCAGTACAAACGCGCATTCGCCGACGCCACAGTGGATGGAGCTCTACTGCTTCATCTCACGGACGACGACCTGCGCAACACTCTGGGTATGGAGCACCGACTGCACCGCAAGAAGGTGCTCACGGCGGTGGAGGAGATGCGAGTGCGTGAGCGCAACCAGATGAGACAGCTCTTCGGAGACGGCACCGGCGGCATCGGTGCCAATCCTGCAGTCTCTGAGGCGATTGCTATGTCGAGTAACAGTCCTGTGAGAACGGTACCAGCAACCACCGCTAACCCGGTCAATGCCGTCTCGAATCCCGTTCCTACGTCGTCCGTTAGTCCGCCACCAGGTTCGAGTGCTTCTCCTCCTCCTGGTGCAGGTCGAGTGGTGGTCTCGTTCAACGAGTTCTGCAGTCTCGTACGCCACGGTAAAGTCAAGCAGATTCGAGAAGCTCTGCAGGATGTCCCCGAACGGAAGTTTGATCCGCTGACGGTCAAGACGCCGTTCGCGCCGGGCACAGGCACCATTTACAACGACCAACTGGAGAAGAGCGTCTTCCACGTGAACAAGGGCGACGACAACGGCAACTCGCCTCTGCTGCTAGCTGCGCAGAATAACCATCTCAAAGTAGCACAGTTGCTGCTGTCCAAAGGCGCCAACCCGGACCACCAGAACGTACGTGTCGATGTTATCTTGTGCGCTAAAGTCTCCGCTAACTCTCCTGTTTCTTGCAGAGTCACGGTCACACGGCAGGTCACTACGCTATGGCCTACAGCTTCTTCGACCTGGGCGCGTGGCTGTTGGATCCTGATAAAGGAGGCGGTCGTGACGATATTCCGAACGAAAACGGCCTCACCGCCTACGACGGTCTCAATTGAGTTCGTGCACCTTGGGGCAGAGAAACGGCGATGATAACGACATGGACGTGGCTCTCCACCAAGCCCAACGGCGTCTTGGCGGCTTTGGTGGCGCTTCAGCCGCCGGACGGAGATGCAGAGAAGACCCCGACGTCGTCTGAGATCCCGGTCGCCATCCGTTGCGTCGTGTTGATCATGGAGCTGGCGTTGGTCAGTGGTGGCGCGTTCCTGCTGCTACTGAGCAGCTCCGTCTTTGGAGTGCTTATACGCAGCCTCATTGGCGGCGATGTTGCCGCCCACCTGTGCGAGTCTGCAACGTTCTGTTGGGGTCTAGTAGCGTTTATGAGCTGGTTCTTTCAACAGCCGAAACGGGAGCTTGCACGAAGACTCGAGGGGTTCAGTTGGAGCAGCGGGAAGACTTGCTTGGCTTCAATATTGCTGCACTCTGTGGCCGTGATGGTTTTAACGTCGTGGGCAGAAAACCAGGAGCTGGTGTCGTGGAGTAATGTCGAGACGGCGGTGCGTCGGTCGGACGGATCCGTCGCCACAGTGGAGACAATACAGAATCTTCTACTCGCACCGATCAAGGAAGAGCTCTTCTTTCGAGGAGTGATCATGCTGGTGTGTATCAATCGACTGCAGAGTCTCAATCGCAGTGCGTGGATCTCCAGCTTCTTGTTCGCTGCCATTCACCTGGTCAACGCACGGCATGTCGGGACGCAGTATTCCGTGAGTTACGTGATGGTCCAAGTGGTTTGGGCGTGGCTAGTAGGACTCTTCCTGGCGCTCAAACTTGCCGTCTCGGGGTCACTGACTCAGTGTCTAGCGCTTCATGTGATCAACAACATTTTTGCATTATCAGTGTCCAAGACAAACGCGATGGACATGACCCAACCAGCAACGACCTGTTCTGTGATCGCATCGTTGGCAATCTACGTCATAGCAATTGCCAGACAACTGCAGCTTCTTAGCAACAACCAGGCAGGTCGGAAGGACAAATGAGCAAATATTGATTCAACTTTATCTCCCTATTTCGTCCCTTGTGTCGTCCCTAGCCTTTCGTCGAGATGCGCTCGATCCTCTTCGTCCTCCACCGTCTCATCAAGCTGTTCAGCGATGATACGTGCGATGAAGGCGGCTACAATGATGTTGTAAGTTCGACGCAGACGATACGTGGCCCACTCCATGGCAACCACGTGCACGAACGACCCGGGCACTTGGCTAGAGAACAGTGTGCGCCAAATGGTGCACGTGAAGGTGAGTGCGGCGCCAGGTACGAGCGGTAAACCGATTGAACTTGCAGTTGCAATAGCGACGAGTCCAATGACGCGACCAGGAGTGACGATGTCGCCCATGCCGCTCGTGTAGGCCATGAAGATCGGCGCTACCACGAAGAAGACCGCCGTTCCGCACAGGCACAGAGATACGCCCATACAAATAGTGAACTGCGCCATCGTACGTGAAACCTGTCGAGATTTCTCCAAGCTGCGAAGAAGCACGGGGGTTGTGGCCAGATAGTCACCCGTGGCCAGCATAAAGATGACTCCAGGCATGAGGAACCACGTGAACTTCAACGGGTTGCGTCGCACTAGAACCACGTACAAGACGCACGCCACGAAGACGAAATTGGCGACCAGCGCGACGACCATCGTGATTGCGAAGTAGAGCGAGTCGCGCATCGCTTCCTGCGAGATCTCGCCTGTCATGATGGAATAAGTCATCATAGACAGCGTCCCGAGAGGAATGTACGGCACGAGCCAGTTGAGGATCATCTCGAGCACCACGTGGACCTGGTGGATGAGAACCAGCGCGTGATTCGGCTCTCCACTGGCTGGATCGTACACTGCCATGAGTGTCGCTCCGATGATCATGCTGAAAATGGTGACGCCCAGGAACTGCACAGACACGAAGGCGCTGGTGACGTTTTCAGTGAAGAAATCCCCGAAGAAGAGCACGATCTGAGCCGCCAAACTCTGAGTATCTGGGAACACGCCGCTAGTCGACGCAAGTGACAACTGCAGATCACTTGGAAACCCCGTGACGTTGGTAGCCGTGAGCACTTGACCGTCAATAAACGACTGAGCCGCACACTCGTCTTGTCTAGAAAAATACTTGCCGTTCGGACATCGTAAAATGAACTGGAAGTTCGTGGTGGCTACTGGAGGATCAGCTTTGACCCCGAACGATCCAGAGAAGCAGAAAGCCACGGCCACTGCGACGCAACTGGCGATCAGAGCTGCGAGGACGAAGTAAATGGCCAAACGTACCATGACGGCGCGAGTTTTATCGGACACCACCAGGTTAGCGAAACATTTTGTGACGCTTGTGAAGATTAACGGCAGCGTGAGGCATTCCAGTGCCCGAATCAGGAGAGTTCCTAGCACTCCGATCCAGAGTTGAGCGTCCTCACTGACAGGGTATTTGTTGAGCACTGCACCAATGACGAACCCAATTACACCTGCGATGGTTGTCAGCCACAGACTCGGGGTCTTGTAGTACAAATCCACCAGCATATCGTCCTGTTCGGTGGGTATAGTCATGTGTGTTGTCACACCAGGCCAGGGTACACCTTTGTTGGTGTGGAACGTTGACATGGGGTCTCGGAACTGAGCTGTGGCGGACGGGCTCATCGTCATCGTCAGCGGTTCACGATCACGTCTGCTAGTGCTATCGAGCGGTAAACCACCACTGTCGTCCACAGAGCTGGATGTCGCTGTATCAACCGACTCGACCGGAATTCCTGCGGCCGCCGCCCTGGTCGCTGCATTCGTCAGACGTTCCTCTTGTCTAGACTCCAGGAAACCATCGAATTGCCAGTCCATCGCTTCGGCCGACTTCAACGGACAGCTCGGATGTCACTAGCAATGGTGCAGTGTCGCTCGAACAGGGCTGGTTGATTCAACACCACACGACAGAAATGGCATCGGTTGTTTTGGACAGCCAGGGATGGCTCGAAACCCCCTGTCGGATGCTATTTTTCAGCCGTGTACACTCGCCACGGTCTCACTTTAATTTTACTTCACGCTCGGACACATAGTTTTCTATACCCAGTTCTCGCTGTGGATCATCCCCATCACTCGTTGTTGGCGTAAGTCTGGTGCTGGTGCCTCCTGCGTTGGAACAGCGGGGTCTGTCTCTGCTACTACTGCTGGTTGAGACTCGAAATAATGTGCAATCACCAGTGCAACCAACGCGTTATTCGTGACGTTCACGCAGGCGACAAACGGCCCCGTGATCCACTCCAGTGCCGCTAAAAAGGCGAGTAACGCGGCACGTGGTCCAGCAGAAATGCCAAATACAGCGCCTAGAGTCGTCGCCAGAGTCGCGGTCTTCGATCCTGCAGGCAGCGGTGACACGACGCTGGCGATTAAGGCGTTGGCGAACACCATAGCTATGGTGGTCCTTGTAGAGTGCGTCACTGCCAGTTCGTCGCTGGTTATACTTGCAGTAGTGAGCACAAACAGACAGCTGACAGATAGATAGAGCGCCGTGCCCGTCTGGTTGAGTACTGAGCCAGTAGAGCACACGACGAAGGCCAGCTTCGAAGAAACACGCTTGCTTGATAGCATACAGGAGACGGTGGCTGGCAGCGCGACGACGGACGACCCAGAACTTATCGCTAGTAGTTGCGCGGGCAAGAGGTGCTCCAAGAACGAGAACGGGTTGGATCGGGTGAATACTGCAACCAGGCAGATCATCACCACCACGTCGAGAACCAGAGCGAGCAGCAGCACAGCCATGAAAGCCAAGACGACAGCGACTGCAGTGTTGTCGTCATTGTGGTCTGAAGAGGAATTCGGTGATGATTGCAGTAATACACTGCTGAACATGAAGGCCACAGTCATAGGAAGATACTTTTGCAGCCACGTCAGCACGCGACATATCAACGCTCCAGTCTGAGCGATCAGTTGCAGCAACACAAACTCCTTCTGTTCCTCATCTTGTCTGTGACTGTCCTCGTCTTCATCTTGTGCTGTATCTGCAACAGCGAAGCCTGTGAGCGCCACTCCAAGCGCGATCCCTCCCACCACGAGACTCAATACGTCTCCATCGACGAACGCGGCTCCTAAACTTTCGGGGAAGACGCTCTCCGCCACCTTGACGACCTGTTCCGCAACACTCATGACGTCGGTCATTGAGTTCACCACGAACGTATGTGCAACATCGTCGACCACGAACGTCGTGGCATTTTCAGCGCACATCAACGTGCCGTCGCTCTGCAGTGCCATCGATCCATTGGCAACTGCACCGGGGCACACGAAGCCCACCGTCGCTCCGGCCGGGAGCCCCCAGATCTGCGCGAGGAGAGCGCTGTTGGGCACGATGCTCTGTAAGGCCACGGCCAGGAGCGCACCTAGCAGACTGGCGAGCAGCGTGGCCAGCGCGAAGGCTGCGAGTGTCGCTCCCGCGATTTGCACCCACCGAGTCTGCGGAGTCTTGAACTGCTCGTGCGCCACTTGCGCTCCCGTTAGTACGGCCTGTAGCGCCGTTGCGGGTAGTGCAAGGCACACAAAGGCGTTAAGCAACAGGTCGCCTGGTAGCCGCAACAACCAGCGCACAGCTGCCGCGGAGCGCACGCCCGAAAGCGCCACGCCCAGCGACACGAACGCGCCGCCGAACACTCCCAGGAAGAGCGGAAGCAGCCGCGGCACCGCCACGCGACAGAGAGAGCCGTCGCCGCCGCCGGTCGGAGGCGGAGAGGAGGACGGCATCGCGACAAGAATGCCATCGTGCAGGGGATGACCAGCTCACATGTAGAAGAGCGTCAGCAGGGTGAGGTAGAGGATACCACAGCACATGGTTGTCGGAGTGGCAAGTGCTGAGTGAGCTTTGATCTTCTGGGGCTTTAGACTTGAAAATTGTATGTCATGATCAAGATATCATCTATCTAGTCTAGGTTATGTAAACCACATTGTTGTTTGTCAACGTTCCCAGTTGTTAAGTATGTCGTTTCGGGGTGGACGCGCTCGTGGAGGACGCGGATGCCGTGGAGGACGTATAGGTGGCCAAGGTGGTGGTCGCGGCGGCGGATTCCCCGGGCTTACCGACCGGAATGGCGACTACTTCAGCTGCGAGGTTCAATCGAGCGCTAACGTGTCAATCATCCGCTTGACGAACACTAACACCAAGGATATTTGGTAACCAATAAACATTCCTCGCGTTAATTCTAAGTTGTGTTTGATACGATCGATGAAGGACGAGCAAAGTGACGACGCAGAGTGTGCTGGACTATAGCACCAGACACAAAACGCGTTACAACTGGGGAATTTGCACCGTGTCATCACAGCAGCCTTGATATGGTGTAGTGCATGTTATCCATGTGTATCTCCATGTGAATCCCGATCTGATATCGTGGATATGCTGCTAGGACGTGTAGATGAAAATCTCGCTGAGATCGGACAAAGCAACATTGGAGCGCTCACGCTGAAGCACGTGCACTCTCCGTATTTCATGAAGCTCAAGCTGACGCTTGTTATCGATGGGAAGCTCGGTAAGTGGTCTTTCCCGTTGACACCCGAGGATGCGAGCGCTATCCACAAGCGAGAGACTGAAAAAGAGGCTGAATTCGCAAGTAACACGTCACAGTCGAGTGACTCAAACTCGTGCGAAGAATCAGGGTCTATTCTCCAACCTACAGAGCAAACCTAGATCATCGTGTTACCCCAATTACAAAGGAGAACACAATGGTAGATTTCATTGTTTAGCTTATTTTTCTAGCTCTCCTTCAAAGTATCCACAGTAGATGGTACAGTGTACCATGGTTTCATGTCACTTCAATCTGCCATCATCCACTCTGATCTCATTTGGCGATCAACCATGGCTCAGCCCAACACGCCGACACCGACGCAGCTCTTAGCGCGCAGCAAGCGCTTCTTCTACGGCGCGACGGCCGCCGGTGAGTAGCTCTACATCTTGCCTGTCTATCTACACTTCCTCCTCCCATTATATCGCCTTCTAACCAACATTATGGCTCAGTAACTGGCACATTCCGAGCACTGGCGGACGATGAAGTGCGCGTTGTATTCTGGAGGTGAAGACGCTAAGAGGCTGCAGGGTGTTTGTATTCTTTGCAAGTCTAACAGATCACTCAATGCTGCTACAGGAGCATGAAGGTGCTGCTGATCATGGCTGCTGTGTTGTCTGCCGTGCTGCATTTGCTGCTGCTGCCCATCGAGTGGATCAGCATGATCTTCCTGAGCCCCGAGACGGTGGACGCCACTGTTCGCGCCTTCCGCTATGCAGCTGCCTCCACGATCCCGTTCCTGCTCGTTGGTGCGTGCCGCGCCTTTAGCGTCAGTATGTTCGAGAACGCCTTCTTTGCGGGGCTCGCAACACGTGACACGGAACTCGTCAAAGCGATTCGAAAGGTGCAGTTGTAAGATAATGTGAGGATATACTGTATTAGCACTCACTTATATTCGCTTGTCACTTTGCAGAAAAAAGCAATCTACTGGGACTGGGAGTACGTCCGTCACTTGATGCGCTTCGGACTGCGACAACTGGGCTTTGGCCTCGTGGCACTGGTGGCAAAGCCTCTTCTGGGTGTGCTGATCCCCATTGCGCAGTTCGGATACCGGTAAGCTCTCCTTATTGCAGTGAATGCGTCCGTACTTCACTAACTCTCTTCTCTACGGCAGCATTCGACACATGGAGCCGGCTTTCCTTGTGCCTCTCTTCGTGGCGTTTATTCTCCCGGCCACGCGTGAGGCGGCTCTGCAACTTGTTCACGTGTGGCTTGACTCACGAGCCATGATCCGCGAACTGTACGACCCCATCATTGCTCGTCTGAAATCTGCAGCTAAAGACGGCGACCCCAACATCAGCACCGATCTACTCACCGATATGGAGATCGACGGCGAAGAGTACGATAGTCACGCGGAGAAGCGGGACTGGCGTCAAAGTGGAAGTGACGCCGCTCGGTTGGGTTTCGGACTTGTGTTCTGTTACATGTTGCAGGTGCCATATCTTGGCCCATTCACCTGGTTCGTGGGTTTTGCTGCTGCTGGACTGTTCGCCCCCGAGCTCGTTGATTTGAGCGCTTTTGGCAGCGTGAACAAGAAAATGAAGTAAACTGGAAATTGAATCTACGCAGCGCGGTGCTACAAGTTTTGTGGTTGAGCGATGATCAGCTATACCAGCAACCAGCGATTCGGAAGTGAAATTGCAGCTACTCTGAGGTAGTCCTGTCGTGACCATAGTCAATAGTGTTGTATATGAACTGACGACGTGAGTCACTACAGATTTACAGCGTGAAAAAGAAGAAAACCTGCGTCATCATTCTTATCGCCAAAACTTTGCACCTTTTTCAATGTTCGACTCAGCCAACTTTTAACTTGATTTACCTCTATTAACGAATTAGGTTAAGGATGATTATCAAGCAAATTCGTTTTGTAACATCATATGAGCACTGATTCCCGATACTTTCATTTATGTATAAATTGGTATCACCACTGTGTTTGCAGAAGGATCGGTGAGGTGGCAGTTCTCATTCGCAGTTCAAGCCGAAGTCGGAGGTAGTCAAGACGATGCTCGAGTTCCTGTCCAACGTCGACAACAACCTGTTCGTCGGAGCGGGCGTAGCCGTGGCCGCCGTGATGGTCGTCAAGTACATGAACGCACGCGCAGACGCAGCGCAGCAGCGCGCGTACGAAGCGGCCAAGGCGCGACAGGAGGCTCTCAAGGCGGAGCGCGAGAAGCCTATCAAACGACGTTTCTTCACGCCTGAAGAGCTGCTGCCCTTCAACGGTGAGGACGGCCAGCCCATCTACATCGCCGTACTGGACGAAGTGTACGACGTGAGTCGCAAGCGCGACTTCTACGGCCCGGGCGAGGGCTATCACCTGTTCGCCGGTCGTGACGCGTCCCGTGCGCTGGCCAAAATGTCGTTCGAGAAGGAGGATCTGGACAGCGATGACCTGTCAGACTTGAGCTTCATGGACAAGGAGAC